ATATCCCTAAACAGTCGACCATGTCTACTTGGTTTGTAATGACGAGGTCTAGAACGTTGGACTTCTGCCCGTCTCTCATCCTAGTGGGCTCTTCCACAAGTTGTGAAAGATACAGATTTTGTAGAACTTCCACAAAGTCTCTGGCAAATTTATTTCCAGTTCCCGATACAGACAGAATATCCCAATCTATCTTTGGTAAGTTAAAGTCTCCAACAATGAATATATTTGTGTGAGGAGAATTTTCTATCTCATAAAAGAGTTTCAAGAGAGCCTCATTATTTGGGTCCGAACTATTTGGGCTTCTGTAGACACATCCAAAGAGAAAATACTCTGATCCTGATGAAATTGCACACCATACACTTTCCATGAAGTCACTGTCTTTGAAAACTACTTGCTTTGATTGTAAGTTCTTTTTGCAGTAAATTATAACTCCTCTCTGACTTTCTGCTGGCAAAAACATATTGTATCCACCAATCTGAAGTTCACAATCATCAACTGGATGAAAACAGTTCTTTGGAAATATTTCCACTAAGGCTATGATGTCTGGGTTCCTCACAGAGATTCTTGCTTCTAGTTCTGATTTCTTGTTGAGTAAAGAATCTACATTGCTGTACATACAAGTTAAATGTCTATTATTAATAATACTATTTACATCTGAAAAGTTACCTGGGTTGACTGCTGTGTTAGGCATCCTGAAAAGGCTGTGGGCCTTTTTGTTTACCTTTGTTGATTGGCTGAGATGAGGGATCCTTTCTCTTCACAAGTTTTTCACCCCGAATCATCCAGTTGTTGTCACCCTCACTCTTCCTCCTTTTCATTTCCTTGACGAGTTCGTTCCTTGCTGCACGTTCTGTTTTTGTGAGATCTGCTTGGATATATAACTCTTTAAAGTCTTTTGGTCCAAAGCGAAGCTTACTAGCTTTCCTCTTTGCTTCCGCACTGGAGTCTGCATTTGAGAATTCCACAAGCACCGGTCTTGGTCTCGAGCTAGTTTCGCTTGCATCCAGTTGCCTTCTTCCCAATCTAATCACACGTTTCACCTCTCCTTCGATTTCCAGGTAATCGAGCATCCCTCGGGTAGAGGCTGTATCATAGTACTGCCTCTCTTTGCTGTCCTCAGAATCATTTTCTGCCAGTCCATAGACAACTATGTTATGTTTTCTTTTATCTTTTTCACTTTCTTCCTTAACACAATCTTGGAAGATTGACTGGACAGATGATGCCAGGACATCTTGAGCTATGTCACTTGGTTCCATTCTCTGCTTATCTGTAAGGGAGCTCTTGATTTCTTTGACGTCAGATTCAAGCCGCTTGCATAACTCTTCCACCTTAGACCAACCGTTGCTCATTTGTTCAAGTTTTTCAAGTCTTTTCTGTGTTTCTCCGAGAAATTTCTTGCACCGTTCCTCAACAATCTGGTCCATTTTGACAGCTTCCAAGGCCTTAAATTCACATGGAGGACAGAACCAGTGAGCTGCATTCACCTTGGTGAATAATCCAAACTCTTCCGACGACAAGGCACTGCATTTCAAGCAGAACCATTTTTCACATCGCTCACATTCGATGCTGTCCTTTCCACTAATGAGTTGTGATTTACAGGCTCCACCACACATTCGGCCGGGACTTCCGCCTGTTCTAGGCTTATCATTCTCTGTGTGAGATCCCTGACCCCTAGACCTAGTAGTAGCCGACGTCTCCTTTAAGTTAGCAGGTTTTTCCAGGATTTTAGGTTGGGTCTCTGTATTAACGGCGCTACTTGATGAGGATCTAGTGTGAGGTTTACTTCGCAGATCATCCATAGCTGATGATGTATTTAAACAACCAATATAGATCTATAACTCAAACTTGAATTTGAAAAAACTTGATTTGGATTTCCTTGATCAAGTACAAATAAGGCTAAGTCAATCTTCCAAACATCCACTCAAAAACCCCAAAATAGATATGCATTTATAATGATGTGCATAAGTATTGTTAAGGTTCTGGCAATAACAAGGTTGGTCACAATGTTAAGTCATCCCCAAGACATATCATTCTAGGCAGATGAAGCCTGATCCTTCTCACACCAAAATGAATGAATGGGATAGTGCTAAGAGCAGCATAGCCAAGTATACATACAGATTGCTGAATAATATCCATTAAAATCAAGCTGAAGAACTGGCCATCCTGCTTCAATCTTCCTAAATCCTGATTGTCCAGATACTCAGAACCCTTGAATATCCACTATTATGTTCCAGTCTTCCCACAAATGGTGAAATTTTGACCCTAAAAACATCTCAGTCTAGAGCCCTAATATTAAACATGTTCCTTGCTGCATAGCGCCCTCAGATGTCGGATGTAATCCAAATTCAGGTGGAAAATGCAATATATGATTATGATTAAAATTAGTAAAAAATTGGGCTAAAATTCCTTTGCTAAGAATAGATATTAAACTGTTTAAAAAAAATGCTAAAAAAAATGGATACGGAACTACACTAGCGCCAGATTTTTTAATGACTCTTTTGTTTGGATATCAGTACAGATAATTGAACTACATCAGGATTTAAAACGGGAAGATATAAACTGGGAAAAATAACTTTGCCTGTGAGACAAAGGAGGCACTTGATCATATATGGACAAGCCCAAGCCATTTTGTCCCATATGTTTAATAGCTACCTCACATAAGATCTGATGATTGTCTTTACAGTCATGACATTGCTGTAGTGATAGCTACATGTAGTTTAACAGAGTCTGCAAATACAGACTAGCATGTATAACTAAATATAGAATGACCAGCAACCCATGACTCATGCCAGGTCATGTTATGAAACAATGAGTACTTGTACAAGAGATACTACAAAGATGTCTGACTGACATAGAGCCTCAATAAAGCTATACAACTTATTAGTTCAATCAAAGCTCTCCAACTGGTCTTTTATAAGAACATAATAATTGCTACCACTGCTGTAATGCATTTTCAATTCTCGCGTTTCACAATCCTTGCGCCCTCATTCGGTTCAGTTGCGACAGTCACTCTAGCGCGGTAATTTTGATCTAGTTGACATTGTCATCATGGTCTTCTATTGTGAAGCTGCAGAATGTTATTCTCATACTAATATGGACAATTTTGTCGACCCGCGGGTGCCTCTTATGGTACGAACGTTGGTGGAGCATGTATTGTGAAACGCGAGAATTGCATCAACTTTTGGTGAAGGCGTACATAGAGCGATTTCCAGTTCCTGTACTTGAGCATCATCATTGCACGTCATCAGTTGGTGATGCATTGTGGGACATGGATGCCAACACATTGGACCATTGAAAGCAGCAGATGGCAGTATACGTCAATCTGAAGTAGTCTCAGTAGAATATCCTGCCTTCAATATGCAAAAGGATACCATTGATGTCACATTCTCATTCCAAACAAACAAGAACGCAATTACACAATACATGTACACGTATATGGTAACATATGACCGCAGAGATGTCAACCTCTTTACACAAAAGAACAGACTGAATATCCTACAAAATAAGATTTTCACAAAAACTCGACTTTACCACTGGGCCAGTAAAATGTCAGAAAAATGTTCTGTGTATTTCCCACCCAACGTTTTTGTCAGGGTTTCTATTCGATTCAGCGGTTTATATCTTTATTTTTTTAGAAAGATGAAAAATCGTATTATCGTATTTCACTTGTTTTTTTCGTACTGGTTCGCATCTCTGAAATGGGGCACTCAATGCCCAAATGCCTTGGACTTGTCTTTTATACCAACAGATAACAAACAAACTGATGTGAAATTAATAATATACAGCATGTACAAAACAACATGTTCTCACCAATTTCATACAATGACTGCTGTATACATATTACAATTATTATTATTTGGACCGAGTATATCAAGTTGAAATTTTATTCTGAACTTCACACTGAGCTTTGTGTTCCCCCAAAACAGCATATACAGAAGGTTCAATTTTTATTTGTAATTTGTTTGTGTTTCTAGCATTTAGAGTAAATTACTCTGCCTGACCTTTGCTCCACCAAATCTTGCTCAAGCCTTTATTTTGTTCCAAACGTATGGGTAGCATAGAGTTGCATTTGGGTTTTAAGGTTAAGTTTAGGGTTAGGTATACAGAGTGAGTCAAAAAAAAGTTAACACCTAGAAAATTGCTAATTATTCAAAAAATCATAGATGAACATTAAACTGTTATATGTCTTATGAAAGAGTGTTTTATCCCAAATCATTTGGTACCATTTTTGTGTGGTATGTCTTCACACTTGGATGAACAGGAGACATTGTTTGCGAGAGTGCAAAAATCGAATTGCGCCAAAGTTGCCTATGTGATGTTTGAATAAAACAATTGGGATTTGGGTATTAATTCGGTCTTTTCATATCCAAATAATACCCCAAACAAAATTAATCATGTCACACATTTCAAATATCGAATATCAAATATCAACGAAAATTTGTGCGCGTGTGTGTGGGTGTGTGTGCCTTTGCCCTTTGCAAAAAACGTATGCAATGCATTTCATTTGATACATTCAATCCATTCTCTCACTCCGCTAATCCCAACATAATTCATACTGAAGGCATCACTTTGGCGCAAGTTGATTTTTGCACTCTCGCAAACAATACCACCTGTTCATCCAAGCGTGAACACATACCACACAATAATGGTACCAAATGAGTTGGGATAAAACACTCATAAAATGTATAATAATTTACTGTTCATAGATGATTTTTAAAATAATTAGCCATTTTCTAGGTGTAAACTTTTTTTTGACTCACACGGTAGTGTTGGCTCCATGGTTTAAGTTAGGAATTTGGTTTGTGTTGGGAAATATTGTGGAGCAATTGTCACATGGGCAAGGGTCATAGAACCAAATTATTTAATGATAAGTATAAGAATATCTTTCACAAAGCAAAGATTTGTATCAATTTTACAGAGATGCTGGAATGGATTTTCCAAAATAAAAAAATTGAAGAAAAACAGAAAAATCTCAGTCTTTTCCTCTCTCTCTTTCTCCATGTGCATACATGCAGGGCCCTGTGTATTACTGTACAGATCAGTGCTGTGTATGTGCTATATTATGATGGCAATGGTCCTGCCTGCACTATAAAAATCCTTTTTTTTGTGCACATTCTGTTGGTATGGTGTGACAAGTAGAGCTGCAGAGCTGTGCTTTGAAACTCCCTCGGAATGCCGGGGAAGCTCTGCTATGAAGTTTCATAACTCTCAGCGGCATCTCTGAATAAAGATACACTGTATTGTTTTGTTATGATAATTTTTCATCACAGATTACTGAATATACATTTACTACATTTAAGTGATAATGATAATAATTTTTTTCGCTATAAATAAGGCTCATTGGTAACAAATTCACTAAACACTTTTCAGATATAACGGTACATCAGTCATTGAATCATGATGTTTCTACTCTCGTGTGAGGTGTTTTATTCCTAAATATTTTCACCATGAAGGTCTATGTATCAACAATTCAATCAAAATTTTTAAGGATTCTTCCTAGGTTCTCTTATGTTTATAACCTACAAGTATTATTTTGTTTCTCCATCAAACATATCTGTATCTATGACTATAAACATCTTTCTTTATGACCAGATTGAACCAAGACTCTGATTAACAGTGTCTCTATTTTCCCTCCTCTTTGCAGTTGTTTGTGATGCTTCCCCTTTCCTTGCTAACCTGTGCCTTACAGCTGCCTTCTGCTTCTTCTTCAAGTTGCCCCTGACCTTTGACCTTACAAGGGCAGGGTTCATTGTCGAGGAAGTAGATGTGTAGGAGCTGATGCTATCGCTATTTCTTGACCGGGCATTCAGTGAGTGAGCATTGGCCTTTGACATGCTAGCCTCACTCCTATGCGGTCTGTACTGCTTGTTAGATGCACCAATGTCTTCAAGATCGTCGTCATCATCGCTGTGATTTTCTTTTTCTTTTCCACTCTGTTCTTGCTCATTCCCATCCATTACCATAATGCAATGCTCTTGATCATCATTGTCTTGTCCTACACCTGACATACCACCTGTATCATCTTCCCTGATAGATTGAACTTCTTCACTATTTTTGTCTTCACTACCACTGTCTTGGAGTCCATCATGAGGGTTCTTCATCTCTTCTACAACTCCCTCCTCTTCCTCATCCTCTTCATCTGTTTCATCATCTTCACAATCCCCATCCATCTTCAATGCATCAGTGCCCTTTGCAGGAGAAAAAAAAAACCATTCATCACAATATTCATACAATTTGCTCATATGTTATGTATCATGAATACAAAACTAATCAGCAAATAAAGACCATCGCTTTTTGATATGTACCTAAAAACATATGTACAAAATTTGTATAGAAAAAAAATATTAGAAAAATGAATACAGATTGGGTAAAAGAATTAACTTTACAGCAGATATTGGAAAAGTTTCCACAACAGTAACTTAAGATATTAAAAAGTACAACCTTATGATGAGAAAGCATAACAAAGTATCCCAAAGCATATTCTTTTTCTTCCAACTGCATGAAACAGCACAAACCATTACCCTAAACTTTGTTGTAAATATTATTGGTATGCATCAATAGACATACATGTATCAACTCTATAAATTCCATTTCAGGATTTACAACAGGTTCACATCTTTTCACAACAAATTTGTTACAATTTTTCTCACCTCTTCTAGTGATTGTTCCATCTCTTTTGAGAAACCACTTGCAGCTACATCCACATCTAAAGTTTTTTCACATCTGAGCAAAAATAAATCAATGCATTAAAATCATTAATAAGAATGGTTAGCTCTCTAATCCTATACTTTGTCATTCTGTATTCCAGGGTTGTAAAATTTACTACGACAATGGGAACAAGAGCCTTAGGGTAAACAGGTAATGGTTTAAAACATATCTCATATAACTATACTCTCTCATTATTTTACATTGAGACTATTAGAGCAATATTGGTAGACAAGAATGTATATGTTGTCACTTATATTGTGACAACAGCCATAAAAATATAAATATCTTCACACTGTTATACTTGTATTGGTATAATATGCAAATAAATGCATGGCATATAGCAAAGCCGTTAAGTTGGTAGTTCTCCACTTAAGTTTCAACTGTTACGTTCAATAAAACTAACCTTTCCCTAATACACTTACGTAATATCTGAAAACTTTGGATAGAGTTCACTCTTGTAATTGAACCTTCTGTTGAAGAAATCCACGACACACTGAACATCACGATTGAAATACCTGAAAAGATATACAAAATAAAATTATAAGTAAAATTAATGTGAACTAACCACAATATCAATATACTATGATCAAAATGTGAGCTTCAAACAATACATAAACAAACAGGTACATGTAAGTCAACATAAAACTCTCAATTAACAAAAAAAAACTTGTGAGTAGATTACTCAACGCACCGACACTTTAATGTCTTCAACATCTTGCCAGAGGCATTCAAGGAGGCAAAGAGTTTTTACGGAGTGATGACTGCCATGGAGTAATGAAATAATGACTGTCATGGAGTCGTAGAGAAAAGATGACAGACTAGATGGAACTTCGACTGCGTGCAGTCACAAAAATGATGCCTCCGCCATAAAGCGATTTCACAAACCAAAGCAGAAATAATTTTTCAAATTCAAGTTTAATTGTAATCCATTAACAGATTCTCAGAATACTGTGATTACAAGCTATTTTATGACCCTTTTATCTTTGACCTCATGACCCTAAAATCTGATCAGTTCATTGGCTTTGTAATACATACATATCTTGAGGTTAATGGTAATCTGTCCAATGGTTCTAATGATGTGATCACAAGCTATTTATGCATACATAATGAGCCCTGTGACCTTTGACCTCATGAACCCAAAATCTAAGTAATTCAATAGCTTTGCAAGATACATACATGACCTAAGTTTGGCAGTAATCCAGCAATCGGTTCTTGAGATAATGCGATCACAAGATATTTTTGCATATATAATGAGCCCCATGACCTTTGACCTCATGACCCCAAAATCTAATCAGTTCATTGGCTCAGCAAGATACATACATGTCCTGCGTTTGATGGTAATCTGTCCATCCGTTTTAATGATGTGATCACAAGCTATTTATGCATACATAATGAGCCTTTGACCTTGTGACCCCAAAATCTAATCAATTGATTGGCTCTGCAAGATACACACATGTCCTGCATACGATGGTAATCTGTCCATCGGTTCTAATGATGTGACTATTATGTTCTTATAAAAGACGAGTTGGAGAGCTTTGATTGAACTAATAAGTTGTATAGCTTTATTAAGGCTCTATGTCAGTCAGACATCTTTGTAGCATCTCATGTACAAGTACTCATTGTTTCATAACATGACCTGGCATGAGTCATGGGTTGCAGGTCATTCTATATTTAGTTATACATGCTAGTCTGTATTTGCAGACTCTGTTAAACTACATGTAGCTATCACTACACCTCCCTTCTTTAAAAGAGGTTTACATATACATATATAAAACTTCTTAAACTGTACAGAGTGACAGGGTGGACTATCTGTACACTCTCGACTGTACTAGGGCATTATTCTGTCCCTTAAAGCTGGAGTACTGTCGCTTTCAAATATATAACTTATTACGCGACAGTCCATATCTTTCAAGGTTGCGATTCGCGAAACTGGAATTCTCCATTGAGGTTGAGTGATATCTGTTGATTTTTGTAATCAAAGTGACTGATTAAATCCGGTTATATTTTTAAACCATAACATGCAAATATATGTGTCATGCTCATGCAATCCTGCAGTTATGTTTTAAAGTCCAAGTTGAACTCTGTAACTATAAACTATTTACAAAACGCGAAAGTCTTTCTCTGTAGTTCGCTTTCATTTTATTTACAAGTTCAAGCGATCTGGCGGTTTAATAACTCGTCCGCTTCTGGTTCTGGTTGATGACGTAGTTGAGCTTTCTTCAGATGCTGGTTGCTCTGTAGCTTCTGCACTTTCATCTAGCTCGAAGTCATCCTGTGTTGGTAGTGGAATAGACTCGGCTTGTTGTTGATGTGGGACTGGCCTGAGGTGACGTCTGTTTCTGCGACGTATCTCTCCTGTTTCTGTCTTGATCTGGTATGATCTGTTTCGATCCTGGACAGACCTGACAATACCACGTTTCGACCAGGTGTTGGTTTTCATGTCTTGGAGTATCACATGATCTCCAGGCTTTAGCTTTGACAAGTCTCGAGCATGTTTGGCGAATCGCTCTTTTTGCTTCACCTTATGATCCTCCTTTCTTCCTTTCACCGATCAAGTATTGACCTGCTGGTTGTCGAGTAAACTGTCAAGCATGGGGAGATTTGATCAAAGTCGACGATTGTAGAGGAGTTCTGCCGGAGACTTTCCGCATGCTAGTGGTGAACTGCGATAGACTTGGAGAGCTCTGTGGATATCCTGTCCACTGTGCTGTGACTTCAATATAAGTTTTTTTACGGATAATATGGACTCGATGTAGTATGGTGAAAATCCCATTCTTTTGCAAAGCTCTTGAACTCTTGGCTTGCAAATTGAGGACCATTATCCGACATCAGCTCACATGGCGTTCCATGGCGAGCAAATACTGCTTTCATGTGGTTGATCACGCCTTGCTACTAGTTGAAGTCATAGTACATACTTCAATGAACTGTGAATAGTAGTCGACGATGACCATGTACTCTCTATTGTTCAGCGTGAACAAATCAACAGCAACTTTTTCCCACGGGCGGTTCGGCACGTCATGAGGATGTAGACTTCCAGCTTGCTGTTTTGGTCTGTACATTAGGCATGAAGTACAACTTTGGACCATTTCAGTGATGTCTGTGTTGATTCTGGGCCAATAGATGACTTCTCTAGCACGTTTCTTACACTTCTCGATGCCTAAGTGTCCTTCATGGATTTTGTTTAGCATGAACCTTCTCATAGTAGTGGGAATCACTATTTTGCTGCCTTTGAAGATGATTCCATCTGCTTCAGAGAGTTCACTCCTGATGTTCCAGTATTCCCTGACTCTAACTGGACATTGCTGCTTCGTTTCCGGCCAACCATCTCCGATGATGCCTAGCAGCTCTTGCAGTTGATCATCTTTCTTTGTCTCTTCGACAATCTGATTTTGTTTGTTCGATGTAACTGGCATGCTCTTGACAATAGCATCTACGTAGACTCTGATATCTTCCTCAGTTTCAGCATTCAACTCAGCCTTTGGATCTACTGCTCTGGACAATGTATCAGCAGTATACATGTACTTTCCAGGCGTGTACAAGACCTTGAGATCATATCTCTGTACCCTGATGAGTAACCTTTGAATGCGTAGGGGACAGTCACCCAGTGACTTTACAAACAGTGGAATAAGTGGCTTGTGATCAGTCTCCACTTCTACTTGTTGTCCATAGATGTATTGATGGAATCTTTCACATGCGTATGTGATTGCCAGCAATTCTTTCTCGATCTGTGCACATCTAGTCTCTGCATCAGTCATTGATCTAGATGCATATGCGATCGGAACCCAATCTTGATCATATTGCTGTAGTAGCACTGCACCAATACCATCCTTTGATGCGTCTGCTGACAGCTTGGTTGGTTTCTTGCTGTCATAGAAATGTAGGACTGGCTCTTGTATCAGAGCTTGTTTCAGCTGATTCCATGCATCCTCTCGTGCATGATCCCATGTCCATACATTCTTTTTGTCTAGTAGATGTCTCAGCGCTGCTGACTGGGTCGACAGATCTGGAATGAACTTCCCTTGGTAATTGATCATACCCAAGAACCGTTGGACATCTTTCCGACATTTCGGTCTCTCAATGTTCAAGATAGCAGACACTTTCTTTGGATCAGGTTGAACTCCTTGATCACTGATCAAGTCACCAATGAATGTGAGCTTCTTGACATTGAACTCGCATTTGTCTTTGTTCAACTTGAGATTCATTTTTCTCACAATGCTGAGAACCTCTCTCAACCTGTCATCATGCTCCTGTTGGGTAGTTCCCCATACAATCACATCATCCATCATTGTGTTAACTCCCGGAATGTGTGCAAACAGTTGGTGCACTATCTTGTGATAGACTTCCGGAGCACTACAAATACCAAAAGGTAGTCTCAAGAACTTGTACCTTCCGTATGGCGTGATAAACGTACAAAGCTTGGAGCTTTCATCATCTAGTTGGATCTGCCAAAAACCACTAGACGCATCTAACTTGCTGAAGTATTTGGCTCCTGCAAAATGTGCAGGTATTTCAGCTCTTGATGGCAATTGATAGTGTTCTCTTTTGATTGCTCGGTTCAGGTCTCTTGGATCTAGACAGACCCTGAGCTGACCGTTCTTTTTCATCACCACCACGAGAGAAGAAACCCAATCAGTTGGCTCATCAACTTGTGTGATTACGTCCATTCGTTCCATCTTATCTAACTCGTCTTTGAGTTTATCTTGAAGTGGAAATGGAACTTTGCGACATGCATGCTGAACAGGATGTGCGTCCTCTCTCAATGTGATGTGGTGTTTACCAGGAAGACAACCTAGACCTACAAACACATCTTGATAGTCTTGAACTACACTTTTACCCGTTACGTGTTCAGTTTGTTTCTCAACATGTTACACCCGTTTCACCATAATCCTAACAAAGGCTGACGATTTCCAGGAATGACTAGACACGGCACATTGCGTTTGATCCCTTTGTACTCAACTTGTACACAACAACGACCTTTGACCGGGATATCTGTCTCATAATAACCTGTCAACATCACTTTGGCTTTTTGTAGCTTTGGTTTTGGTTTCAATTTGTGAAATACTGTCTCAGGAAGAAGATTCGCCTGAGCACCAGTATCAACCTTGAAGTCAACCGGCTGGTTATTGACTAGTAGATTAACTATCCATTCATCCTTGGATTCTTTTGATTCAACAGAGCAAATCATGAAACCTTCTGAATCTACCTCCCAAGTGCTGCAGTTCATTGACCTTGGCTACTGGGGTTTTACAACATTTAGCAAAATGATTCTGCTTACCGCACTTCTTGCATGTTTGACCTTGTGCGGGACATTTGTCTTTGCTATGTCGGTTTCCGCACCTGCTACATGCATCACGTTTAGTACGACCTTGAGGTTCTGACCATTTTGACTTTGAACCAGGAAATTTCTTCTTAGTCTTGCTGAAAGAATCTACCGGAATTGAGGCGTTTTCCCCTGCGGAACTCAACGCTTGAGCCTGCGTTCGAGTTTGTTCAGCCGCACGACATACTTGCAACGTTTTAACCAATGTAAGATCATCTTGCCTCAACAAACGTTCTCTTAGACCATCGTCTAAAATACCACAGATAATTCTGTCCTGGATAAGACTCTCTTTCAACATGGAAAACTCACATGACTGAGCACGACTCCGCAATTCTGTTGCGTACTGATCAACACTCTCATGCACTAACTGAGATCTTGTGAAAAATCTATGTCTCTCATACTTTAGATTACGTTTCGGCATGCAATATTCCTCATATTTGTTCAACACTTTCTCAAGCTTCATGCTCTCACCCTCAGCAAATACAAACGTATTATACAATTCCAAGGCAGCATCGCCAATCACGTGTAGAAGCATTGATGTTTGTAACTTTTCATCTTTTTCAGACATTCCTGAGGCAACATTGTATAGAGTGAATTTCTGTTTAAATCTTCTCCAGTTCTCGGAAATATTTCCCTTTAAGTCGAGTGGAGGAGGTTGACTGAGATTTGCCATTTTGTTTCTTGTTGTTTTTGTTTTTTTTGCCTAGTGTAGTCACTCACATAAACAGCATAACAATTAGCTTTTTCTTTTTGTATCTTTGCAACAATTACTATTAACTTTCACTGAGTTATTCTGTATGTTCATGTCCCATATATGTCACGCTTACTGCCCGTTATACTGGAACTGGCCCGGCACCGAACTATGCACTCCAATCCATACAACGACAGCGCTAACTATTATGGACATAACTACATTCACTGGACATACACTTAGACTCTAAGCCCTATCATCATCTCTCACATCACAAAGAATTGGATTGAACTGGCCTGATTTCAATGATTCTTCCATATATATACTGTAGGCTGGGTCGCTCAGCACAAACACTGGCTGCTAAGTTCTGACACCATATTATGTTCTTATAAAAGACCAGTTAGAGAGCTTTGATTGAACTAATAAGTTGTATAGCTTTATTGAGGCTCTATGTCAGTCAGACATCTTTGTAGCATCTCATGTACAAGTACTCATTGTTTCATAACATGACCTGGCATGAGTCATGGGTTGCAGGTCATTCTATATTTAGTTATACATGCTAGTCTGTATTTGCAGACTCTGTTAAACTACATGTAGCTATCACTACAGTGACCACAAGCCATTTATGCATACATAATGAGCCCTGTGACCTTTGTCCTCGTGACCCCAAAATCGAATTAATTCAATGGCTTTGCAAGATACATACATGACCTAAGTTTGGCAGGAATCCATCAATCGGTTCTTGAGATAACGCGATCACAAGATACTTTTGCATACACAATGAGCACTTTGACCTCGTGACCCAAAAATCTAATCAATTCATTAGCTCTCCAAGATACATACATGACCTAAGTTTGGCAAGAATCCATCAATTGGTTCTTGAGATAACGCGATCATGAGAACGGGACGGACGGACGGACAACCCGAAAAACAAAATCAAAAGAAAAGAAGTCCAAGAATAAACTCCTACAAGATACTCCTGTAAACACCTTTGTCTGCAGCCTTGTTGTCTTGTCCCATAATGATAACAAACATCTACAATTATTGTTTTAAAAAATTCAATTAGGATACACAGTTGAGGAGAAAAATAATCCAACAATCGCTTTGCAGCTACACAAAACTCTCAAAATCTAATAATCTGATACAACTATTTTCTTTAATGCAATCTTTCATCTGGCAGTTTCTTAAATATTTGGAGATTAAAAGCAAACGGATTATAATTACATAATTACATTTGTAATTTGTTCACTCTACTTGTATAAAAGAGAACTATTGCTGAGCTAGCGCCATGAGCGTCCCTAGACGGTGTGTGCGTTTTATAAGTTTACACTATTATTATTATTATTATATCTACTTACCATTCTGCATTTTCATGAGATGTAGAGACCATCTGTGGGAAGTCAATGAGGGTGATTTGATCCTGATCATCGAGCATGAGATTGAACTCATTGAAATCGCCATGAATGAGACCGTGATTAGCTAACCTAACAATGAGGTTCATGAGGTCATCGTAGACTGAGGCAGGGTCATCTAATGTGTGAACTTGATTTCTATAAAATCATATCAAAAGACCAGTACAAAAATTACATGAATAATCATACATGTTACTCTAAATTGCTGGTTGAACATCTGATCTGTGCACTGCTCTTTGTCTTTGGAGCATATTTTGATTACAAAGTAATTGCACTGTTTAAGTGTAATACCGGTAATATGAAATAAAATATGACATACTAATATCAAAGATTTATTCTTAAAACATATCTTAATACATTGTATATTATTTGCTTATTCATAAGCTCACTTCAAGGTAGCAATGGTTTTTAAATTGTGCTTGTCTTCAGATTTGGGTTCAGAAGTCCAGTCATACTATTCGATTTGATTTCCAAATATTTATTTTACTACAAAATTAATTATTTTTCATAAAGTATAAAAGCAAAATTAAGCAATTACAACTTGAAAAGATTTATATCATGTTTAATGTAAGATCAAGTTATTCATAGGATTAACAGAAGATCAAAATATGATAAAAAAAGAATTTGAACATATGTACACAATATTTCAAAGAACAATAAATAAACACGAAGAAACCATTCAGTTAATTTTCAATATCTAAAAATGGCCATCGTACTCCCTATGTTAACTGGGGGGGGGGGGGGGGGGAGGGTCAATTTGACCCCCTCCCCCCTGTAGTAATTTTGTGACTACTCCGAAACCGCAGCAGTTGTAAAGTTTTCCTTTCATGACTTTTTTCTTTCAAGTCTTACGCATCTTTTAAAATAATATTTTCGAAAATCAGACTTATAGTTACAAAGTCACGTGACCTTTTGTCTTTGCATGTCAGCCCAAAAATTGATTGTTTTTTTTATTTGTGTACAAAACATGGAAATATCATTTTCCTAAAAAGAGATAAAACAATGATTATTTAGTCTTGTTTAAAATTTAGGAGTTTGTTTTGGGGTCAAAATAGTTAAATTGTAGTTAGAAATGAAATAAAACAACAAAAACAAGTCAACGCAAAGCGTAGCATCCCCTCGCAGGGTACAAATGGCCTATATACCCCAGAACAAGTTACCTCCATTGGACTATACTATTATATAAATAGGCAAGGAAGTTAACCACATTTTCACATGTATATAATTAGGTGTTTTTGCATATTTAATGAGCTATGACCTTTCACCTTTGACCTACATACTCAGAAATCGAACTTAGGCTGTACATTTTTTTTTATACCATGTACCTTCATATCGAATTTCCATAAAATCTGTCAAACATTACTCAAGTTATTGAATGGAAACCAGATTCGCATATTTAATGAGCTATGAACCTTAACGTACATACTCAAAATCAAACTTAGGTTCTGTTTTGATACCAAAAACCTCCATATAAAATTTCATTAAAATCTGTCAAACAATACTTAAGTTATGGATCGGAAACCAGATTTGCATATTTAATGAGCTATGACCTTTGACCTACATACTCAAAAATTGAAGTTAGGCTGTGTTTTGATACCATGTACCTTCATATAAAATTTCATTAAAATCCGTCAAACATTAAGTTATCGATCGGAAACCAAATTTGTTACGGACGGACGCACGGACGGACGGCGAGGGGATAATAATAAAAGACATACGGGTTAGTTAAAAAAATAACAAAATACATAAGAAATTATCAAAACAAGAGATAACGTAAGGAATAACCTGGCTCTTCCAATTTTTTTTTAAAAAGAATGCTTAAATATGAAAGTGTGAATTTTATTACCTTATTTGCATAAATTACCATAAATATGCAAATGAGTGAATTTTTCAAAAAATTGAAATAACCATAGTGTTCTATACGCTTCACTTGACATGCATGCAAATTTGTGCGGCGATCAGCTGTGAAACGGCCAAGATCTTAAATGGGGTTAAATTGACCCCCCCCCCCCCAGTAAAAACCCGCTCTGAAATAGCCCAGTTAAAATAGGGTTAAACTGGCAATGGAACATGTACTTACAATGGATATGCATTCATTAGTTCCATGACCACACAGTGTCTGCTGAAGTCTATTGGTGTTGGCACAGGAAAGCCATGGTCATACAAAGCCTGGAGGAAAATTCAATGAAAAATTATTTATAGTCAATGAAACATTATGATACACTTTTGTGAAAAAATAAGAAAGTGAACTTGCTGAACCTTGGCATCTAATCAAAATTAAAATGATAGCAAGGCTTTAAACTTGTCATTTGAAGTTAAAATAATAACAAGTGCTGGGAGATAGAGAGAAAAGGCTGGACTGGAACCTACCGGAAAATTTGCTAATTTTTTTCCCATACCCAGAATCGGAAAACAGGAATATCTGATAAGCTTTGACAGTTGACCTACAAGTTACGATACTATTATGAGCGCTGTCAAGACTGATCTCACTGTGATGTTAGGATCAACAACGCTATGTCCCACCATGGACCTATTACGGATGGACATTCAACGTGACTCTTTCTTTGATCCAATGATAGTCACCGCCTTCTGATTATGTGCATCTTAATGAGAACATTCAGCTGTTTTAACAATAACGACTGCGTAAGAATTTTTGGTCATTGACAAAGGAGCAGTTTCCCTCTCTTGGGTTTTGTTTGGATGGTGTGCTCTGTATGAGTGTGTCTTAAATGAAAGCATCTCCAATGGGGAGCAGCAAAGTTGAAAAGCAGACGATTTTGGTGATATGAAATGTATTATTACTGATTCGCACACACCCATGACTAGTGCTGTAACATCACGGATATCTCCAATTCCGTTTAACCGCCAGTCAAAACCGGACGGTTTTCGGTTAAACGATTTTTAAAAAAATTTAAAAAAAAAAAAAAAAAAAAAAAAAAAAAAAAAAAAAAAAAAAAAAATCGTTTTTTTTTTTTTTTAAGTTTTTTTTTTACCAACTCTGTCGGCAACTTTCATTTAACTGCGAGGTGCATTTAAAGGGGCCGATTTGTGCTTGTGAACTTGTCACAAATAATAGTAACAATGTTGTTTTTAGAAGAATGTGTAAGATCATTAATGTAAATTAAAAACAGTAGAGGACCTAGGACAGAACCTTGTGTAAAAGTTGGATGAATTATTATTGTAAACTACATAAATGATGAGATCTATTACAAAGATTACTTTCAAACCAAGATGACAGACAAATTGGAGTGTTGTTCTAGTTTTGGTGTGGTGAGTCAACACACAGATTACTGAGCTGGGAGACATTGCCAGGCATAGCGCCAGGTGGAGGGGCATAAATCGAAACTTTAAAAAAAAAAAAAAAAAAAAAATATATAAAAAAAAAAAAAAAAAAAAAAAAAATTAAATTTTTTTTTTTTTAAAAATCGGGAAAACGAAACCGTCCAATTGAAAACGGAATCCGCCATGGGCGGTCGGATACCGGACGGTTAAACGTTTGATTACAGCACTACCCATGACCTTATAAAACAGTTAGAAGGCCATGATCTTTATAAGCCCTGTGCTTTGTAACTCTGGAATATTATGAGGAAATAGGGGGAAACGGGATTTTAAATCACAACCCAAAGATAAAAAAAATAACCTCTATGTGGTAATATCAACATGTTTTCCAAATAAAATACATGTACAGTACACGGAACAACAATTTACGATTATAAGCCAGAACTGCACATCGATTTTCCATGATTTAGGCGAGTTATTATCTTCTGCGCATGTACATGTAGATTAACATATGTAAAATCACTATCTTGATTCGGTCCCGGCTTTTTGGCGGCGACCATGATGAGATCAAAGTGATGAAACATGTAGGGAATGTTATTGAGACGACGTTGACGGAGACAATCACAATGAATTCATTAAGAAAACGATGAATGTCCATTCGTAATAGGTCCATGGTCCCACCAAGCTGCCTGATCTACAGCACATGGTAAGTAACTGTGATTTAGCGCTGGAAATGCTGCAAAGACAAATTTCTCTTGAATGTACAAGCAATGTTTGAAAACAAGGGAAACGCTCTCGGCGGTCTCGCCTGCATAACGCAATTCAATATGATAAACCAGAACGTCAATAAAGTAGCGCTCATCCGCATCTTGCAACAACAAATATCTTAAATTTTATGTGGTACACTTTTGAACTGGTCAAAAAATAAAAATTTGAAGCCCTGGAAGGGACATAATTTCATTTCATTTGCATAAAGTACCATACATAATCAATGGAGCAAAATCTCACAATTCTGTGTAGAAGTTTAGTGTTCCAAATTTAATTCTACCAGATAAGGCAAACCAAATCAAAATCGGTCAAGAAATGAGGGAAAAGAAGCAATTTTTGTTATTTTTGGAATAAATTTGCATAAATTACCATAATTAATTAATGGAGAACAATTTCAAAATTCTGTGTAGAAGTTTAGTGTACCAAAGTTAGCTCTACGATATAAAGTAAACCAAATCAAAATCGGTCGACAAATGAAGGAGAGGAAGCCTTTTTTGTGATTTCGAATAAATTTGCATAAATTAGCATAGATAATGAATTTCACGATTCAGTGTAGAAATTTTAAATCTCCCTCCTAGCCCTATCATATGAAACAATTAGAATCAAAATCGGTTGAAAAATAATGAAAAAGAAGCATTTTGAAAATCTTGATGTTGATGCCACAACAAAGTCTAAGTTTGTTGACCTTAAATAACCTTTGACCTTAACTTGGTGACCTGAAATTCTACTCACATGATTGGGGAGACTTGATAACCCTATAGTCCAAGTTTCATTGACTGAGACCTTATACTTTCAAAATAATATCAAAAATTCAAAAACTTAACCTTAGGTTAAGTTTTCGATGATGATGCTACAACATAGTCCAAGTCTGTTGACCTGAAATGACCTTTGACCTTGACTTTGTGATCTGAAATTCTACTCACATGATTGGGGATACTTGATTACCCTATAGTCAAAGTTTCATTGACTAAGAACCAATACTTTAAAAATTATATCAAAAATTCAAAAACTTAACCTTAGGTTAAGTTTTTGATGTTGACGCGGCCGCCACCGCCGCCGCCGTCGCCGTCACCGGAAAAGCGGGGCCTATGTCTCGCTTTTTGCTACGCAGGCGAGACAAAAACTTGATTTTTAATGTAAATCAACTCACCTCCGTTTATTGGAGGAAATGTCTGAAGAGGACATGGAATATACTGGCCTTGTACAGACTTATTAGGGAACAAAATAAATAGAAGAATAAAAGCTTTTTAAAGCTCAGATTCCCGCTGATCATGTAATACATGATAACATAACTTTTTACAGGTTTTTTGCCAGTCTTCTTCACAAATTCAACTTCCGAACAGAGCTGGACCAAAAAACCCAAACTGGAAGGTTTCTGGTACCCACAACGGAAACCATAACTATAGCTTTTCTATTGGCAGCAGGCGCGGATCCTGGAGGGGGCTGAGCGGGCCTTGGCCCCCCCCCCCCCCCCCCCCCAAAAAAAAAAAAAAAAAAGGAGAGAGAGAGAAGGAAAAGAAGGGAAAGGGAAAGAGGAGGGAAAGGGAAAAAAGGGAAAGAGGAGAGAAAGGGAAAGAAGAAAAAAGAGAATGAAGAAAGGTAAAGGATATCAGTTGCAATTTTCCTGCCAACAAGGTGTAGATCGGGGGTGGGGGGGCTTTGGGGAAATAAAATTCAAACGTGGTTTATTTTTAATTCCATAACGGTGGTTTACATATAATGCTGAAATGACATAATTTTCCGAGATTTTTCCTCACTTTTAAGTAAATTATACTATTTATGTATTTGTTGAAAAATGACAAATTCCTAAATTTACAGCCAGGCAAGAAAATACTTCTTGAGATGCCTACATGTCAGGGCCCACAGAACGGCGGGGATCGGAATCCTGGAGGCCCCCCCTCCCACTCTTTTTGAAAAATATATTAAAGAGAAATAGAAAGAAAGAGAGCAAGAAAGAAAAAATAGTTACATGTAACTGCCAGTGTCACATTAACATGAGGTATCAAAATATGCTCATCTGACAATGATTAAATGCCAAAAACTCGAGGGCCCTGCCCCCTGGATCCCACCTATAGGGCCCTAAGGCGGGCCCTTAGATGCTCATCTGTCGGTAATTTAATGCCTAAAACCCCTGATTTCTGGGGGCTCTGCCCCCTGGACCCCACGCCAAATATTGTCCTGCCAGTGTCACAAAATAATAAGGTATCAAAAAATGCTCATGTGACCGTAATTAAACGCCTAAAACCCCTGAGCTTCCGGGGGCTCTGCCCCCTGGACCCAACCAAGAGCCCTAAGGCAGGCCCCTTGATACTCGTCTGACCGTAATTGAGTGCCTAAAACCCTTGAGCTTCCAGGGGCTCTGCCCCCTGAACCCCACGCCAATTAGTGACCTGCCAGTGTCACAGTTAGGTATCAAAATTATGGTCATCTGACCGTAATTAAATGCCTAAAACCCCTGAACTTCCGGGGCTCTGCCCCCTGGACCCCACCAATGGCCCTAAGGCGGACCCCTGAATGCTAATCTGACCGTAAATTATTGCCTTAAACCCCTGAGCTTCCAGTGGCGCACGAGGTATCAACATATGTTCATCTGACCGCAGGTGCATAGCCAGGGGGGGGGGGGGGGAGGGTGGTCCCCCAAAAAAGAGAGGAGTGAAAAGAAAGAGGATGTAGGAAGAAAAGGGAGTAGACAAAGAACATTTTTGAAATTCAGACAGAATCAAGAGTCGAGAACGGTACAACGAATCGTTTTCTTTCTCTGATGATTTAATGAAACGTAAAAGCTTCACACGAGAGGGGGAAACTGAATTTAGAAGAGGATTAAAAGTCATAACGGTACAACGAATCGTCTTCTTTTGCTAATGTTTTAATAAAACGTAAAAGCTTGCAGGAGGGGGAAAATAAATTCAGACGAGGATTATTTTCGTGAGCGGTACAACGAATTGTCTTCTTTCTCTAATAATTTAATGGAACGTCAAAGCTTCCGCGCTTTGCGCGGGAGGGGGGAAACTGAAGTTAGACGAAGATGAAGAGTCGATAATGACACAACGAATCGTCTTCTTTCTCTAATGATTTAATGAAACGTAAAAGCTTGCGGGAGGGGGGGAAAACATAATTCAGATGAGGATTATTTTTGGGAACGGTACAACGAATCGCCTTCTTTCTTTAATAATTTATTGAAATGTCGAAGCTTCCGCGCTTCGCGTAGGAGGTAGGGGAAAAACTCGCCTCTCCCTGCACCCACCCCCCCCCATTACGTCACTGCTGGTCACCATTACGTACCAATATTTGGCTCGCATAATTTCAAATTTGGGCCTCCCCCCCTAAGAAATCCTGGATCCGCGCCTGATTGGCTGTGCCCCAATTTGTTTGGTATAAATCAGGATCCAAAAAAATGTTTTCAGCTGTCCATCCAATCACTGATGTAATCATTCATAATTGAATGAATGAATACATAAATATGCAATAAATGAATACTAAAATAACTATATTCTACATTTCAGTACATTAGAAAAATATCACACAATAATTTCCTCAACAGATACAAGAGTCGTTGAAACTCATAAAGCAGAATAATTTGAATATTTTGAATTCTAACCTTCATGAATGCAAACTCTTTCATAGCAGCCAGACGAGACAAGTAAAGCCAAGATGCGCTCTTTCTCTTCCCAAGATAGTCACGCTTCTCTTTCAGCTTGCGAAATGATGTCCTCCCAAGTCTGCATAACAAAAAACAAATACAGTACAATTAAGATCACAATGATAGTGTTACATAAGAGTAACATCAAACAGAATATGTAGTTTACACGGAGGAAATTTTATGAGCCTTTAAATTGTAACCCCCCCCCCAAAAAAAAAAAAAATATTAAGAACATTTCTTTGGTTTCCTAATGTCAACCATAAATATTTCGATACACAAGTATTAAATTATGTGAGTGGAATTTTCTTTTCCATCAACAAAGGAATTATCCTTTTTTTTTCCCCAACAGGAATGCAATCATAAAGTGAAAGAAAGCACATAAATTAAAGTCATTCATCTTACCTATGTAACTTGAGTGCCAACTGTTCATCATTGTCATTGGCAACAATGTAAATATCTAAAATGCAAATGTGATAATTTTTGTTTATTATTAAAACACAATAAATGTTTAACTTTATAAAAATCAAGCAGTATTTTAACGACATTGAAATAAATTCATTTATTAGTGGGAGTGCATGAGAAGTCTGCAAGCACAAAGCACAGGCTCTAATTTGACACTTTCAACAATTCCTATATATATATATATATATATATATATTTTTTTTTTTTTTTAAAGTACATGATTTTTTTTCTCGACCCCTAGGGGAAGCGTCTTATACACAGAGATTTACAGTATGTGTGTTGTGAATGGGATTATGCACCACGTATGACAACTGAGTGAAGGAGCTGCTGAGTGCTTTACCTGCACCTGCTCTAGCCCAGTGAGCGATTGCTATGAGTGTGAGTTGAGCTTCTCTGTCCGTCTCTGAGTCTTTGCATTTCTTTCCCCTTCAGTCCATTTTTCGTCATTCCAAAACTTTTTACACTGGTCGTTGTTAGTTGATTGTGTATGTTGAATTTGTAAATCTAGATATATATAGTAACTAGCAGGACCCGTGGAAAATCCACGGGATTCTAGGGGAGGGGGCCAAATAGATAGATAGATAGAGGCCTATGTGCTAACCAAAAAAAAATTAAGATTATCTTTATATAGAGAATTTTTATAATATATGCTGTTTGACCATGAATGGCGCATCGTAAAACAAACTATGTCAGATAGGATCTCGATAATTACGATTTATTCCCATTATTATTGTTGTGATTTCAATGTAGTTTCATGAAAAGACTACATATGCAGAGGCTTGGATTATGATTATGTTGGCATTGTTCACAAAATGTGTATAATTATTTTCAAAGTAAAGATTTTACGCGAAAAATCGGACGGTTCGTGCACAAATTGACTCGACTGTGTGTGGGACTGTGAGCGTAGAATCCAGTGAAAGATTTTTTTTTCGGGGACTCGATCTATATCAAATTTTGGGAAAATTTTTGGGGGCTACTTTTTTTTATCTTTCGGGGGCTCATTTTTCTTGGGCTAATTTTTCATTAATTCATTTAAAGATGCAGTTTGTTTAGTTTAGTAGCGTAGTGTTACGTAAAAAAAGGCCGTGAATTTTGTTAAACATATTAAATTGTTTGCGTCTATCTTGCGTACTTTTTTGCGTCCCTCAGGGTATAGTAACGTAGGCCAGCGTACTCTCAGCTCAGCGTAGTTGGTACGCAACTCTACTATGGACCCCACGCCAATTAGTGATCGACCTGCCAGTGTCACGAATAAGGCATTAAAAATATGCTTATCTGACCGTAATTAAATGCCTAAAACCCCTGAGCTTTCGGGGGTTCAGCCCTTTGTACCCGTGGACACCACGCCTGCACTCAAATCGCTTTGAGTTACCTGACCCCCCCCCCCCCCCATACTTTAAAATTGATTTGATGCAAGAACTGTATCATACTAAAAGTATTATGTTTTTAAACGACCATGACGACCGTCTGATTTTCTTGTGAAAAATGATTATCGAAATTCAGTATACAACTATACATGGCCAGAATAATCACAATCCAAGCCCAGGTTTCATACATCTATTCACGAAACTATATTGAAATCGGGGCAATAATAGCAATTTCAAAGTGTTGTTTAGACTCTCCTCACACCCACGGACAGACCTGGCTACGTACTCCGGTCACCGCTACTCCATGCTCACACACTCAGCTCCGACAGCACCGCCGACAGCGGCGCTCAGCTGCCGTGGCAATACACTGTGGACTCAAGGCAGTTTGCAACTGAACTGTCACGTGAAGGCGTACTATCACAGATCTATTTGCGCTATTCTTGTAGTGATTTCGATGTAGTTTTCATGAAAAGACCAATAAAACAGAAGCTTGGACTATGATTATGTTGGCATAGATCACAGAATTTGTATAATTATTTTCAGAGTAAAGATTTTACGTGAAAATAGGTCCATGGTTTGCGCCAGTTGTCGCAATCGCCTCGACTCGAATCGACTGTGGTGTGTGCATGTGTGTGACCTGAGAGCGTGTAATACACGTACTACAAAGCATATCCTATAGAAAGACGCATAGCACGGGTAAGCTCAACCCGTTGAGGATACATATTGGCTACATCCCCTCACCCGGGTGAGTCGTCTGTTGATGTGTATTTCTCTTACACGCTACAAAGCGAACCCTATAGCAAGAGGTCTTACTCGGGATATGCCGCAGCTTTTTCAATGAGACTTGCTACACCCGTTGACGCGAGTGGATTCTCGTCCATCGTGTGTCTCTTCGTCTCTCTTTGATAATTAGACAGAGGGCGGGTGCACGCCTTGCCGACTCGCTCTCGCGGGTTCGTCGCCTCCTCGCAATCCGCGACGCCCGCCGTGCTCTCGTCCGCCCGTCCTCCCCGGCCGCCCCGAAACCGTGTTTAACGGCATGGACGTCGATCGCGGGGTCGAGGTGGCACGCGGGTTACGGGAGACAGACCTCGTGGAATTGTGCCGCCCTCCCCGCGCCACGGCGGAGGCGGGCGGGGTCGGGGAAAGACGTTTTTGAGGAACCGTTTTGTACCCGTTTGGACCCCCCGCGGCGATTTTGCGTATTAGTAATATAGATGTATTGTTGAGTGAAGAAACAATAAAGAAAACCTGCTGTGCAGGTGTTCCTTTCTCTTCTTTCCCTCCTTTCTGTCTTTCTAACAGAATATCTACCTTTTTGGCCTGATGATGATGCCATGTAAAGAAAGAAGATAAATTCATCTACTAACCTTACATTGATGACAAGGTACTAACAAATTTATTTTTTACCTCATGAGTTTGCCATTATGGTATGTATTATGTGTGTATTCAATGCATGCATTCATATTTGCGATCATATTCATAATTCTTGAAGGTGCATTCGTAATTTCGTACAGAGGGTCTGATTTCCTATACAATGACAATTTTTTTTTAAATAGTTGGCAGCTATGGCAATGTTGTTCTTATTCTTAGTCCTTTAAAACATACATTCATTGATGGCTCAATGGTCTTGGGTTCGAACACCATTTGATGCCCTAGTGCCCTTTGGTAAGGCATTAATCCTCAATTCCCAGCCCCTTGGAGAGAACTTGAAGCCCTCATCCCCTGGATGCTTACTTACACGCAAACACATGCTTTCTTAACAGTCAGGTAAAACAAACCAACCAATCAACCAACCTTTTTATTGTATGCATGAATTCTACTGCTTGTACTTGTTAGTAACATTCATACAGTTATGTTTTGTGCAATAAAATATGAATTATGAATTCATCATGCAGATAACAACAGGTCATATGGCACATACCTGATTCCTTGCCAACTCCTATTTGATTTCCAACTGATGCCACTGCATCTCGTGCAACAAGAGCTTTCAATGCAAGATAGTCATACCCTGGATAGGTTAGCCGATATCCAGATACTGCAAAAGAGGTTTGATAGTATAGTAATAATGACTGCTTTGAGAGACATAGTTGGTTTTATACGCTCAAGGGGAGGTTACAATTGTGCTATTACCCGAGGCATGCCGAGGGCAATGGCACAATCGTAACCTTCCCGAGAGCGTATAAAAACAGCTATGTCTCAAATATTAAAGCAGTCATTATTACTTTTATATACTGAAAAAAGAGTCCAACTTATGACACCACCTTGGCTTTTCTCTGGTTTATCTGCACATGTATCAACACAAAATTATGGTATCTGCCATAGACTTTTGTCTCAGAAAGTGAATGCGTAACAACATTCAAGAACAAAAGGCAGTGGGGTTACAAGTTCCCCAAAAATGATTTCTACTGCACAAAATAGCATATATTCTGTGCTTTCAAATGCGTTACGCCCCAATTCATAACGTTAATGGTAATTTAAGATATGCAACAATGTCATAATTCGTAGTAGAAGTTTACGTGTTGTAGCTGTAGCGACTTAAACGTATACGCACACAAGAACAAGAACAAATGTCTAACAGTTTTTATCGTGAATTTCACGTACCCTTTTGGTGTTCTTGTCAGCAGAATTAATCAAGTCTTGCAATTGATCATCATCGAGAAGTTGAAATCAAGGAAGAGTTTCTTCTGCAATTTTTGCCTTGTTTGGAAACTATAAGTAGAATCTAGGCCGGATTTAGTAGTGCGATCGACATAAAAAAAACAACTAAGCTAGCGACCAATTCGCACACACACAATGTGTGGTATCCGCGCTCGCTCAGACCAGATTTTAAAACGTGTACCATATAACATGAGTTATATACCTCACTTAAGAAATCCAGCCATCTGATTGGTCGAAATTGCAGTCGTGGTTTTAGCCATTCCCGTAAATAAACAAAAAATGCCAAACCTATGAAATAGTTCTAGAGTAAATCAGTAAAATCCCGACAAAATTCCAGTTTCCGGGAAAATAGTTCAATCTTGATGAAATACCCATTGGTTCACGTGTTAAAATTTGGTTTGAGCGAGCGCAGAGACTATACATTGTGCTTGATTTTTAGATTTTTTAATAAGACGACCGTACCGGCGATGTCGATCGCACTTCTAAATCTGGCCTAGATTCTACTTATAGTTTCCAAATAAGGCAAAAATGGCTGAAGAAACTCTTCCTAGATTTCAACTTCTCAATGATGATCAATTGCAAGACTTGATTAATTCTGCTGACAGCAAGAACACCAAAAGGGTACGTGAAATTCTCCATAAAAATATTCAAAGATTAGGTCTAGATCTAGGCTACCTACAAGTTATCAACACAGACCTGGATAGCGTAAACAAACTTCCAAATTCGGAGCTGGACAACGTAGATCTAAGCCTAGATCTAGGCCTACTCCAAAAGTTTTATGCTGGTGCTATAGGCCTAGACCTTCTAGGCCTGAAGAAGTCAATGTTAACTATTAGATTCAGACTTCAGCATCATTTCCTCTATTCTAACCATGTCGACATCATAAATTAAGCATGAAGATTTTTTCCATTTCAACAAGAGTTTTTAAGTGTTTTTTAGCAATGCTTAAACAAGAAGGAAAGGGAGTTGTGACTCACAAACCAGCTATCTCAGCAGAAGACATGGAAAAAATCCAAGGTTCGCTTGATTTGGATGATCCTTTAGGTCTTCAGTACAAGGTATTTATTGATGTTATGACATTCAACAGCTTCAAAACTTATAAGGAATTAGGCCTAGGAGGAAAATGCTACATAGATTCCTAGAGGCTAGATCTAGACTAGTCTAACTCTCAAAGGGCGTGTTCACACTGCAGTAAGATAGCGCGGTCTATCGTAGCACCCCCTTTTTGAGAGGTCCTGTTGCCATGACGCATGACGTCATGAGGTCCGAGCGGTCAACACTCCTAGTTCGTAATAGCGCGCAAAGTCTTTGACCGCTCTGACCTCATGAAGTCGCGCGTCATGGCAACAGGACCTCTCAAAAAAGGGGGTGCTACGATAGACCGCGCTATCTCACTGCAGTGTGAACACGCCCATAGATACACTCATAAAAAACAACTGTGCAGATAAACTAGAGAAAAGCCAAGGTGGTGTCATAAGCTGACTCTTTTTTTTGGTATATAAAGGTAATAATTACTGCTTTAATATTTGAGACATAGTTGTTTTTAAACGTTCTGTGCTATTACCCTCGGCACGCCTCGGGCAATAGCACAATTGTAACCTCCCCTTGAGCGTATAAAGACAACTACCGGTATATCTCTCAAAGTAGTCATTATTACTATAATATAATGTATACAATAAAAAAGGCAAATGCTCATTCGTTACATTTAAAGATCTATGAATAAGGTAAGGGTTGTATATGACAACAGGATGCATCAATACACAGTAAGTCTACTTCATGACAAGGTATTGTCAAACAAAATTCAGAATTGATGCAGTTTGATTTGCATAATTACAACAAAAACAAATTTGTAACTCATGACTTCCTCTACAACCCTTATGCTACATGTATTTGAATACAAGACCCTTCAACGTTTTAAGAATATCATGTTTCTGATATCACATCTGCAGTAAAACAAAATCTTTCAAACAAAATATTGACTGGGAATTAGATAGACATGACTCACACTTTCTTTCTTTTTCTCTTACATGTACAGAGTGAAATATTTTGGTTTTTGCAAACCAGGCCCTTGTTCACATTTTATTTTTATTATCTTATTTTTATTATTTTATTATTATATGCATATTTTTTGGGGGGGGGGGGGGGGGGGGGGGGGGGGAGGGATAGGCAGGTATGGATTCGGATTGATAGTTATAGGGGTCAGTACATACCAAACACCTGTTAGTTCAGAGTTGTAAAATAAAAGACAAAAGTGGAAAATGAGAAAAATAAAAATAAAGCCGAAAGGTTGGGAGGTCTGTTATGTGAAGCATCTTACGTCATAATTTAAAAAAATTGCTGAGGTTTTGCCACGTCATGTCTAAGCGAGCCTTAACAAGTGCATTATGAACCTGTTCACCTCAGCACATTCCCCTTAATTACCTTTTCCATGCTCCCAAGCAATGAGTTTATTCCTGACAAGTTCCTTTAGGACTTTATGACATCCTCCGTGACGGAGATTGGCAATTGATGCAACCAAGTTTGATGGGACTATCTCATGGTTTTTCATGCCCATTTCAAGCTGTAAAGCAAACAGAGAATAATACAACAAACCAATTACCACACTAAAAATGTATCAGTCACCTCAAAAAATAATTGGTGTATTGCCAGAATATATAAAACCAACCTAAACTAGATGGAACTTCGACTGCACGCAGGCGAAAATGATGCTTCCCCCATAGAGTGATTTCACTAACCAAAACAGAAGCAATTTTTCAAAATCAAGTTTAATTGTAATCTATTAAAGGTACTACAGTATGTCCCATTTGCAGGCCCCAAAAATGTAAAAGTTAAATTCCAACTGCATTTGAAAGATAATACTTATTTAGAACTTCCCTAAAAAAGTTGGGGGCTTGAAAATGTCTTCAAGTGGGAAAATAATGACTATTAGTTGTCAAATCGACTTTAGGGCTATAGAGCCCAAAAGTAATAGTCTTGATTTTCAGACAATTGTACCGAATGGTCATACGTTTTATGCTGCGCAAAGATTCAATCAGTTTAATCTTGGCCATCACAAGAAGTGGGTTATTGATGTAGACAAATGCTCATGTACCCTTTACAACTCTTTTCATGTATGTTATTACCAAAGAAGAAAAAAAGCCAGTCAGTCACTCAATAGTGTCTGACAGTGAAGTCTAGCAAGTAAACAGGTTTCCTTGCATAATTTGAATATGAGGACACTGCTAACGTTTAAATTTCACAGATAGAACATACATGACATATTTATAATTCCTGCAAAGTTCTACAGAATTTGAGGTTGGCTGCAAAAGGGACATAGTACTCTCAAGACCCCAAAATCTACTAAGTTCATTGGCTCTGCAAGATAAATACATGTTTTGAGTTTGATGGTAATCCGTCTATTGGTTCTAATGATAATGCGATCACAAGCTATTTTTGCATTCATAATGAGCCCAATGACCTTTGACCTCATGTCCTCAATATCTAATCAGTTCATTGGCTCAGCAAGATACATCGATGACCTAAGTTTGGCAGTAATCCATCCATCGGTTCTAGAGATAACGTGATCACTAGCTATTTAGAAATAATATTCATAGGGGGAAAATGGGAAATTTTTATTATCCATATAAAGAAAACAATTAGTGGATAGCGAGGCAATGACGTCACAGACTCATGAGTGAGTTGCCGATTTGTCTCGTGATTTTCAAAGTTTTTCATGTCATTACAAATTCATAACTTTTTTTAAAATTAGTTTCCCATTTTGCTCAAACTTTCTTTGATCGGTTTGTCTGATTTTTCTGCTTCTATTCTATTCTGTTTCTATTTTGATTATTTGAATTTAAACGACTTAAAGATGAAGTTGAGTTCTGGTCATGCGATTACATTGTGAAAGAAACGGTGTGGAATTGATCAGAAAAGGTTGATCATCTAGCATATAAGTATTTGTGCGTATTGCAAGGTTCTGGAATCATCAAAATGATAAGAAATTTGGCTAAGTCTTGGTAAAGTTACAAACACTGTACACAGAAAGATTTATAAGGGACTACACGAACATGTGGCGTAAAAATCCTACCCCAGATTTTTACGATGTTACATGACATATTTTCAGGAACACGTTTGATCTGATGTTCTTCCACACTTGCGTAATAACAATGATAACGCTCATAGTCCTGTAGAAGTTTTTCAGACCTGGAAAAGTTGATAAGTACAAGATTCTTTTGTTGATTTGTGTTCTAGATGGGTATTTAAGTAAATTCAGCTTGGTTGCCAGCTTGGCAACCTTGGGCAACTTTTTTAATAGACATATTTGCGTAATCATCTAATTAGCATATGTGCAATATGAAATAATGTTGCTAATCTCAATCCAGGAAGCTTGAAACAATAATACAAATTTTCAAGGGTTTTCTATGACGAGGAATTCATTTATGGCACCAGTTTTTGATTCCAAGTAATGCAATTGTCTTTAATAGCATAATTAGCATATGTACAATGTATGGACTTCATTGTCATTGTTTATCTATATACATGTAAAGCCTGAAAATGGTGCAATGCAACATTGCAAATCAATTTTGAACGACTAATCATTAATTCATGAGAAGATATTCCATTTATATGTAGTATAATTAGCATAATTAGCATAATAATCTAATTAGCATATATGTGCAGTATGTAATAATGTTGCTAATCTTAATCCAGGAAGCCTGAAAACATGGATAATATGACTTTTTCCGGAATTATGCCACAAGCTTGAGCAATGTCGGGCTTGTACTCTCAATGGTTCTGGCTTTGGTATAGCATATGGTGTTATAGGATCTGACTTCAGTGATATGATGCATGCACTGAGATACTTTTGAGCTTGCGATACTTAACAAATCTGAATCCGAATTCTATTCGGCGCGACCGAATGCTGGGCAGAAAAATGCTCCGCCTTCTTTTGGAAGTATTTTGCTTATCATCTTTCTAGAATTTTAAGTGACTATAAAATCCTGTTAGAGGAATAAACTTCTTTTCTTTTGATGGGTAGATTGCCAAATAAAAGAGGTAAGAATTCAAAATATTAGCGATTTCCCCTTTAGTGACCGAATACCGGGCGCTCTACCCTAAAGAGTCCAACAAATAGGATTTTGTCTTTAAATGGCCGAAAAACCCCTCATGTGTGTATTGACTACCATGTTTGCAATTGCTGTCTAGAGTACTTATTAGCACCTAGTTCAGCGCTAGGGGTCAATCAGTACGCATTACCATTGACTCTCTATGCTTTGCTGGAGTGCCCAAAGTTGACAGCCCTGATTAATTAAAGATAAAGACCAGTTATGGTCGTGCGATTGCATTGTGAAAGAAACGTTGTGGAATCGATCAGAAAAGGTTGATCATCTAGCATAACTATTGGTGTGTACTGCAAGGTTCTGGAATCATCAAAATGATAAGAAATTTGGCCCAGTTTAGGTAAAGTTACAAGCACTGTAGACAGAAAGATGTTTATGGGACTACGCACACGTGCGTTTATCTCTCACACACCAATAAATAAATGTAGGGTGTCTGGACGATTTTTCAATCTTCAATTTGGGATTGTTTTTCACCATTTTTTTTAAATATGTGAATAAAAAGTGCAATTATAATAATATATTTCAAATTTCAAGACTCACCAATGTTTCTATCAAAAGATACAGCCCTTTAAAAACTCTGCAATATTCATATCATTTTGATCGGACTCGACGAAAAAGACGTAAACGCAGAGTGATGTTGTTTTGCTAAATTTAGCCAAACGTATGCATGCGTATGCATCGCGTACACATGTTGCTAGCTGAATGCGAAAAACCTGACGTTGTTTCCGCAATACCGCCATTGACTTATAACGTGTACTCACTTCTGGGTTGGGAGCGCGATTCACTAGCCATACCATATAACGTGCATTGACTTCCGGGTTCGCTTCGTGCGCGGTCCGAATGCATATTTATGTGCGCCGCGATGTAACCATGGTTTGGACTGAGCGGAGATCACGTCTCCCTAATTAGCTGATTCCAAATATGTGGGAAGGGTATTTTCAAACTGTTGGGGCTAGCAAAAAAAAAAGCACCTGGGTATTATCCTTACGTCTAGCCCTACTTAAGCCGCAGGGGCTCGGCTCAGGAAAGTGAGTCATCTCCGAGCTAGGATGCAAGCAACATTTCAATCGCTGTTTTGACCAAGATATTTTTAGAATTTTGGGGGTGAGGCCCCTCACCTGAATGGCCTTGCTGCGGTGGGTTGGCAATAATCAGCCCAAAACTTGGATATGGGAGGTGGAAGGATAAATCTTTTTTATAATGTTATCCAGTCTTACCCCTAACCATCCTATGTTTAATCTAAGTAGAAATAACATGCGAGTACGAGAAGAGAAACATCGGGCCCATTACTGATGCAACTTTTTACATATTAGCCTAGAAATGACCACCAAAAGGAAACAAGGGAAACGCTCTCGGCGGTCTCGCCTGCATTACGCAATTCGATATGATGAAAAATTGAGGTTGGAACATTATTTATAGGCAGGGTGGACCATTAGCAGGCCCCCAAAATGAAATCCTCTGAATATAATCACATTTTGAAGTGAATATTGACTAAGAATCATCAGAAGAATTATTTACTATTACCGGTAATTGTACCACGATCGATAACTTGAATGAAATATGAACAAATTAATTTTAAAAAATTATTAATTATTATATACAGTTGTGAAAACATAATCGAGGTCTACTGACCTTTGACCTTGTGACCTGAAATTTGTGTCATATGATTTGTGATACTTGATAACCCTTGGGTGCAAGTTTCATGGAATTTGAACAAACAATTTTGAAAATATGCTAAAAATTCAAAATCTTGATGTTGATGCCACAACACAGTCTAAATTTGTTGACCTAAAATGACCTTTGACCTTGACTTAGTGACCTGAAATACTACTCACATGATTGGGGATACTTGATAACCCTATAGTCCAAATTTCATTGACTAAGAACTTATACTTTCAATATTATATCAAAAATTAAAAATCTCAACCTTAGGTTAAGTTTTCGATGATGATGCTACAACATGGTCCAAGTCTGTTGACCTGAAATAACCTTTGACCTTAATTTTGTGACCTGAAATTCTACTCACATGATTGGGGATACTTGATAACCCTATAGTCTAAGTTTCATTGACTAAGAACTTATACTTTCAAACCTATATAAAAAATTCAAAAACTTAACCTTAGGTTAAGTTTTCGATGATGATGCCACAACATAGTCCAAGTCTGTTGACCTGAAATAACCTTTGACCTTAATTTTGTGACCTGAAATTCTACTCACATGATTGGGGATACTTGATAACCCTATAGTCTAAGTTTCATTGACTAAGAACTTATACTTTCAAACCTATATAAAAAATTCAAAAACTTAACCTTAGGTTAAGTTTTCGATGATGATGCCACAACATAGTCCAAGTCTGTTGACCTGAAATGACCTTTGACCTCGACTTTGTGACCTGAAATTCTACTCACATATTTGGGGATAGTTGATAACCCTATAGTACAAGTTTCATTGACTAAGA